TTCCCATCTTCATAGACCAGAGGCTGTCTGTCCATCGCTTGCTTAGGGCCCAGAGCTGTTATTTTACATGCCCCAACTCCCACTAACTTGAACAGAGATGAGATGCACAGAGATTTGCCTCTAGATGCTTTGAGCCAATTTCTGCTTTACTTTCAACAAATGTGATGGGAATTTTGCCAGAATAAGGGCCAGAAGTTGCTCTTCCCCTCACTACCCTCTCTTTTTAGTTCAAATTTAGCTTCTGACACAGAAAGATGAGACTCGTGTTCTTCCTGAGAGCTTTATGAGCAGCAACTACCTATACTTTTAATACTGAGAGACACTAACAATTTCCGTACTCACTAACTAAAAACAAAACTGCACTGTGAGCACAACCATGATTAAATTTTGCTACTTGGTGTTTTAAGGTAAGCACAAAAGACATTTAATACAACTTTGCCCTCCCCAAACAAACAGACAAAAACAAACAAACAAAATCATCTCACTGATTAAGAATTAGAAGCACATGAAAATCTTGAAAAAAAAATCAACTTTATTTTATCACATTAAAACAGAAAAACAAAACAAAATCACCTATGAGTCTTAGAAGAGAAAAATCTCTTTTGGTACCTATCTACATTTCTGAAAATTGGTCTTGGTTGCTGGAAGGATCTAGTTTAAAAAATAAGGAAGAAAGGAGTTCAGTAAAATAAATCCAAGTGTGACCAGACCTTTGCAAAATCACTAACAGTTTCTATGGGCTTCTGCATTAATTCTGACCACATACAAGAAAAATGTGGAAACACAGCAGGGAGTGGGGAAAATTCAGTGGCTAGAATAAACAATATGGCATCAAGAAAGCTAAATTTCAGTGTACAGTCACCCTCCACATCAGTTTGTAATAACATTAAGGGAAATTAACTCGTGTTGACACAACAGCTGTTTAATATATACTCATTTCATTACCCAGTGATAAAGAGGTGAACTGTAAAATGCATAGACTTTTTTCTTTTAGAGATGTTTTTTGTGTACCACAGCCATGTAGTCTAGTTTTACACAATAAAAATAAAAGCCATTCAAAACATTCATAAAGTATGCAGACCTTGCAACTACAGTATTTTTTTACTTTGCTGTTCCAATTGCTTTAAAAAAATTAAAGGCAAAAATTCTCAAAAAAGCAATTTTGCAAAATACTGTATAATTTCTTTTATATGGCTCCATTGTTTCCAAACAATACAGCATCTTCAATTGTACATTTTTTTTATTCCATTAAGATTGTATTACATTAGCACAAAGAAGGCATGTCCAAGTTAAAAACAAACAAACAAAAACCATCCCCGAGATCAGTTTTGTGATTTGGAAATCCCAGATTTAAGTACCTTTGGTCCCAACACTTTTATGCCAAGGTAAAGTGGACGGGTTTAATCTCTGCCACACAGTGTTTGGTATTTTTGTCATCTTCTACAAACAGATATAAAGGTTCACAGCATTCTGTGGCAATGACAGACCAAAATAAGAGAGAGATGCACACACACAACTATGTCCACACTGTTCTGTGAAATAGCAGTGACTAATGAACAGCACGATGTGTAGTCATATTTCAAGACTGAGTGAGATGCATCTTATTTTTTATAATTTATCTAAATAAGAGATTGATTTTTTTCCAGTGATGAAATTTCTTTTTTTTTTTTTAAAAAAAAAAAACAATAGGTAAGAGTCTTGATTTTTAAATATGATTAACACGACAAGCTCACTTGCAGGACAAGTTGCGACTGAAATATATTGTAGAACAGCAGGTAAGCTGGAAGAGAAAGAACTGGCACAAAAGGGAAGAAAGCAAAAAACAAGCATTTCCAGAATGTGTGAATGGGGCTAGCATACATCATTTTTAGTGGGATCCGAAGAGCAGCAACTCTTAACAGAGTTATATTGTTACAGGTTAAAAAACAGGTGGTGAACAATTGTAGAAGTTAACAGAACTGAAATGTGTTTTACATTACCCTGGCATACATCCAAGTTCATTTCTAACACACCTTTAAAGAAGTCCTTAGTTCTCTCCCATGACCCCAATCTCTGTAATTACATTTTCCATGGTTGTCTTCACCTCACATGTTTTTATTCATTCCTTCCCAATACTGCCCTTTGTGTCACCGAATTCAAAGTTGTATTAATTAGACAAAAACTTGGTGGGTGAATTTTATCATTATGTTCATTCAGATAATTTTTATACTGGGTGCAATTTTCCCCTTAGAGAATACAAATGTCAAGCAGAGGACCCCCTAGGTGGCTTGTAGCAAAAATGCTAACTACTACAGCTATAAACCTCAACTAGCCAACACATAGGTAACTGAGTTATAACTCATTTCTCCTACATGTATTTTATGTTTTTCCCTTATTAAAATGATTTTATCGCTCTTTATTATTCTCCATTATAAACCAGCACTATGTTCGTGACAAAAAAAAATCCATTCCAAGTTCCTAACGTGGAAACTAGCTCCTTTCCATGATCACCTAAATTCAACTCTATGGAGACTTGATGACCTACACTCTTCACATTTTCCAGTGCAGGTAGTAGAGAAGCAATCTAACGCAATTTAGTCTCCACATACAATCAGTGCTTTCATATAACGGTTTTGCAGTATTAAAAAAACCCCAAACAAATTGAAAGACAAAAACAAACCCAAAGGTACGAGATAAGTCAAAGGGTCACCTTACCACATAATCACATATTGCTGTTATTTCGTTAGGCAGCACATCAGTACTTATTACAGGCCATTGGAAACAATACTGCATTTGAAAAGCATATACCCTGGCATGTTTATTGGGTTTATAAAGCAAATATTCTGATGCAGGCTTCTGTTGCGCAACAAAACCTCTTTTTTTTTTTATATCAGCCCTTCCCCTCCTAATTAAGAAACAATATAAACTGGAATGCCAAGTAGTTCCAGTCATCCCACGTTAGGAAGAAAGACACAGAAAACATTCTGCAGCTTGTTTCCAGAATCCAGTACACTCAAGTTTAGAGCAGCTTGTTTGCACCCTAGTATCAGGGGATTGGTACTGGACTGCAACGTCTGCCTGCAATACAGCAGAGAAAACAATCTACACCCAAAGTAACAAACCTCACCAATTGGCAGAATCAACGGGTACACATGTTCACAGCCCAAACTGGCCTCCCTTTGCGTACCTCACATTAAGATTAAAATTAATTTTACAATGGAATTCAGCTGTATTTTGTCAAGAAGATGGATTTAGAAATAGTTTCTTACATTAAACATCAAGCTAAATAATAACACTGTCTTCTGCATTTCACCTGCAATGGTATCATAACACTCAATGAGGTATTTCAGTTGTTCTTTTATTAACCATCTTCTTATTAATATCCACACTGTTACCTTATGATGAAACCACTTTTTTGGCATATTTAATTAGGATACTTTTTCCATTAAACTAGGGAAAATTCTCATCATTTCATATTTTGGTATGCTTCCCCCCCCCCCCCAAGGAAAATATTCAGATATCTTATATTTTTGTCTTGTATACTACTCAAACTGGTTCTTGTAATGACAAGGGGGATCAAAGGGGAAACTATACTGCTAACTCAACACAGACAACTACAGTTGGCTTAGTTTGCGCTCAATAAAATTACAATCCAAAGACAATATGCCATAATTATACATAAAATCCTGGCTACATGGCCTATACTCAAACAGGTATTTCATTCTAGAAATGGATCTTTTCTACCTGTGTAATCAAGTGAGGCCAACCTGCTGGAAATAAGAACTTATAGTACTGACTGCCTTTCAACAGCATGGTTAACCAGACATCTGAAAATGGTTCGAGTCCAGTTTGCCTCTGACTAATTAATTCTCCTTCCACTGAAGCTAATACTTTTCAGCACAGGGGCAGGCTTAATATAGCCCTCTGTACAGTTACTGAGATCACGTTCTGTCACAGTCCATTGAATATCTTCCTGGCTTTATGCAAGCCATCAGATATCTTTTTAAGAAACTAGTTTCCTTCCATTTTTCCAAAGCAAAATATGAATCTGACTGGCATTGATTTGTTTACACTGTCCCACAAATACATTTAGTGCTGTTGCAACAAATGGGGGAAAAGGCCTCCGTAAGCTATCAAAAAGTCACATTTGCCAGTTTGTGATATACAACAAATTGGAGCAAGGAAGAAAGACGGTGGGGAAGGGAGGACAGACTGAAAAGCCTCAGGGACACCAGCACGCTTTCAGGAACAGGTAGCACTCTTTACAATTCCAATCTGTTGCAGATAAAGCTCCCCCCACCCCAGCTATATGCTTTTCCTTCACTGTATTTTAATCTTTAAAAGTGCATTTTGCAGAAAAGATCATTCTTAATGTATGAAACATTCTAAACACAAGAGGGAAAGAAATCAAGTGACCTGACATCGTCCCTGCCAAGAAGGGATACAACTAGTGTACAGAAATCACAGGTCTGATGGATAACCCAGGGCAAGGGATAGGCTGATTTGTCAAAGGTGAATTATTTTTAAATGTATTACATACTGCTTTTCTGAGCACTGTTTTCTCCACCACAAACCTCTCTTGCATGTTTGCAGGAAGAGTGTGTCTAATACAACAATGGCTGACAGGAGAGCAGTTAAGTTACCATAACTAGCTCTGCAGACTACATGTGATTCCAGCTCACCTGTGATAAGCTTTTGTGTCAATGAGGGATTCTCTACCACACACTTTGTTGTACAGACTACGGGAGAGAGTTGCTGAATTTTCTGCGCTTTAACTACAATGTCAAGTAATACCTGTGGTGACAGAGCTTCTTGTTGCAGACATTCCTCTATGTGGCTGTATGATTGCACCTCTTGTCCAAATGTCAAATTTGCTTAAGTGTGTCTAGGGATGTTCCCCCCCTTTAAAAATACAGAGTTCTTAAAATACTTCATCAGGTCACTATATTACTGACTCTCACTTTAGTGGAGTTTAGAGCGTCCATTGAGAGGGGTAAAAAGCCATACAGTATTTTCCTTGACTCTTGAATATTCACATTTGCACGTCACGTGATGCTCATTTGCCAGAGCCTGGTTTCTCAGTGTCCTCAGGTCCCATTCAACTTCTAAAATAGGCAATGATAAAAATACCGAAGGATGCAGTACCACATACCACCCGACAAAAATGCAAGGGACTGAATGCCAACCAACCACAAGTTGTTCAGGGTCATCTCCCGGGAAACAGCTGTTTGACCCTGTAGGGGAGGAAATGCTCCTAAAGGAAAGAAAAATCATTGTTAATCCTGTTGCAGTAGGACCTGTTTGAGTATATTCTTTTTAGCTATGCTGCCTATATGGATAGTGATAGATATTAGGGCTGTACGAAGCTTTGGTCCCTTATTCGATTCAGTGGAGATTTAGCCCGATTCAGCGGCCAAATCTCTGAATCCGAATCAAATCAGAGGACCCTTTAATTTTTCTGAATCTATTCAGAGAGATTTGGACAGATTTGGTGATTCGGGCATAGATACAGCTTTAAATGTTTTTTCTACATACCTCTAGGTAGCAGGGGCTCTGAACGCTGTAGTGCTGGAGCAGATGCAGCATCCCACAAAAGCACGGGGGCTCCCCAGCGCGCTTGGCAGCAGACCTGGAACTGGACCAGAAGCACTTCCAGGTCCACCAAGGAGTATGTTAGGGGGTTCCCCTGCACTCCCCTGGCTTGGGGACTGGTGTCTCCTGGGTCTGGGGGGGCACCCAGGGTCCCCCTGTAGCCAACTGCCAGGCCAGGGGGGCCCCCCCAGTGCGCTCCCCAGTAGACCTGATCTGATCCATTTCCAGGTTTGCTGCTGAGCACGCTGGGGAGCCCGCCATGCTGCTGTGGGATGCTCCATCCACCCCAGCACCGCCCCGATCATGAGCCACGCTGCTACCTCAAGGTATGTAGGAAAAAAAAAAAACTTTTAAAGTTGTGCCTAGGTCTGAATCACTGATTTGCCAAATCAGCATTGAATCATAGAATCATAGAAGTAGGGTCGGAAGGGACCTTGTAGATCTTCAAGTCCGACCCCCCGTCAGATTTGGATTTGGCCAAATCGAATTGGGGACAGTGATCCCAATCAATGGATCAGAGCATTGTCCCTGATTTGGGCTGAATCCAAGTAGAATACGGCCCATTTCGCACACCCCTAATGGGTACGTGTAACTGATCGATTTGCTTGCTTTACATGGGTGATTTTTCAGAACACTATTTCCATTAGCACCAAATATTTATTTTTGAAAAAGGGAAAAAAGTTAAATACATTTCCAGACTGAGAGAAATAAGTTCTATTTCACTTGGCTGCAAACTTTAACACAGGATATAAAACATTCAGATATTCCTTGCTTGGGTGCATTTAGCTCTTGCATAGGTCTCTTATTGTTTACTGTTTACTATTGCGCATTTTGAATAAGATTAAATTTCTGTAACAGCATTAGATCCAGCAGAATGCATATGGATTCTGCATACCTGCTGTGCAAGGATTTTATACACACATTTCCCAAGGAGGAGAAGTTTCCAACAGAAAGAATATAACAGCCATAAAAATCACACCACCATATTAAAAGATTTCAGCAACTTCATGTTTTGCTGAATGTGTGAGCATTCATACTGCAGAGCAGCAATGCACATATACCCCTAACATTTCTCAAGGTCTCTCACAATACATTTCAATGCACTGCTCGGTTATGTGTTAGACTCTTTAAATCAGACAGACCGACCAACACTACAATTTGTTGTCCAATGAATGTTCTTTGAACATTCAATTTTGAAGGGCTATTTGTTATAGCAAGGGATGACTGATGTGATAAAACTTCATCTTCTCCAATTTCACCTCCTCCAGGATTTACTAACTTACATGAGTAATCAGTTTAAATCATGCTGGCAAAAACAGGAAGTGTTCCTTGCACGAGTGACTGCAAAGGAAGCCTTCTGGTCCTCCAAATCCAGAATTGATGGGGCATTAAGAATCCAGGACAGAAAACAGTCCAGATTACTGGGTAAGAAATGTATTTTATTAGGGTCCATTTATGTAGACCTCTTCTGTATTTGTTAGCCTGACATCAGAATACAATATCATGGGAGTCAAGTGCCAAAACAGGGAAGCAAGCCCCTAAATACATTTGGGGATCGGGGCCTCTGACTTCCTTTTTTTTTTTTTTTTTTTTTTTTTAAA